AGTTGCTATTATGTTGGATTGGACTACAGTGGCCAGCTTTTGCTCCCCATGTGCATCACTGAACCTTGGTCGCCTATGACCCTGTTTCAGTTCACCAGCTTTCCTTCCTTGGACCACTTTTGATAGGTCTGGACCACTGCAGACCAGGAACATCCCACAAGAGCTGCTGGAGTTGCTCTAACCCAGTCGTCTAGCCATTACAACTTGACCCTTGTCAAAGTTGCTCAAGACCTTAAAGTGAAGTTCATTCCAGTATGAACTATACTTAAACCTGTTCCCATCCCCTTTCTAAGCCTATTCTAACTACCCTGTAAAGGAGAGATGTCTATACTTGCCTTTTCTGAGGGCACTCTGGTCTGGTCTCATGTTTGGCTCCCAGTCCAGGCGTCAGTGTAGAGGAGGGACAGCTGACAGTGGATAGCAAGCCTATGGGTGATGTCACTGCACAGGCTCTGCAGTCGGCGATCTCTTCATTGAAGCTCGCCGCTGGGGAGATCGTGTGACTGGACCTGAGCGACTTCAGAGTAGCAAGTGTATAGGCATCTTTCCTTTACGGGGTAGTTAGAATAGGCTTGGAATATGGGTCAGAGTAGGTTAGCATTTGACTGGACTTCTACTTTAAAGTGAAACTTGACTGATAACTTGATACATTTTTTTTTTTTTTTTTTTTTTTTTTTAGCAAGGATCATACATTCCACATTTAATAATAATTATGCTACCAAAATTGTCTGTTGTGAATTGCCTCCAGCATTGGTCCTGTTTCTTCTTGCTGGGGGTTGCCATTTTGCTGAAGCCTAGAGCCCCTTAGCAGCAGTAAATCTTTAGGCTGGCAGCAGATCGGCCTCTACATTTTCAGAACAGTGCTGAAAAATAGAGAGCAATTAAGCATGTGCAGAGCGGGGTGAGACACTGGATTATAAACAGTATAGCTGCCTATTTTTTAATGTTTTACATACAGTGTATCTAAAAAGTCTATACACCCCTGTTAAAATGTTGGGATTCTGTGATGTAAAAAGAGACAAAGATAAAGCATTTCAGGACTTTTTCCACCTTTTTTTAATGTAACCTATAAACTGTACAACTCAATTGAACAACAAACTGAAATCTTTTAGGTGGAGGGAAGTTAAAATAAAATGGTTGCATAAGTGTGCACACCCTTAAACTAATACTTTGTTCCTTTTCGGTATGTGTCTAGAAGCATGGCACATCTTGACTTGGCAATATTTGCCTACTCTTCCTTGCAAAAACAGTCCAAATCTGTCGGGTTGTGAGGGCACCTCCTGTGCACAGCTCTCTTCAGATCACCCCAGATTTTCAATTGGATTCAGGTCTGGGCCCTGGCTGGGCCATTCCAAAACTTTAATCTTCTGATGAAGCCATTCCTTTGTGTTGATTTGAATGTATGCTTTGGGTTGTTGTGCTGAAAGATGAAGTTCCTTTTCATGTTCAGCTTTCTAGTAGAAGCCTGAAGGTTTTGTGCCAATATTGACTGGTATTTGGTACTGAACTGTTCATAATTCCCTCTACCTTGACTAAGGCCCCAGTTCCAGCTAGAGAAAAACGGCCCCAAAACATCATGCTGCCACCACCATGCTTCACTGTGGGTATGGTGTTCTTTTGGTGATATGCAGTGTTGTATTTGCACCAAGCATCTTTTGATATTATGGCCAAAAAGTTCAGCCTTGGTTTCATCAGACCATAACACATTTTCCCACATGCTTTTGGAAGACTTCAGATGTGTTTTGCTCAATTTAGCTGGGCTTGGATGTTTTTTTCTTTGTAAGAAAAGGCTTCCTTCTTGCCACTCTACCCCATAGCCCAGACATGAGGAATACGGGAGATTGTTGTCACATGTACTACACAGCCAGTACTTGCCAGATATTCCTGCAGCTCCTTTAATGTTGCTGTAGGCCTCTTGGCAGCCTCCCAGACCAGTTTTCTTCTCGTCTTTTCATCAATTTTGGAGGGACGTCAAGTTCTTGGTAATGTCACTGTTGCGTCATATTTTCTCCACTTGATGACGACTGTCTTCACTGTGTTCCATGGTATATCTAATGCCTTGGAAATTCTTTTGTACCCTTTTCCTGGCTGATGCCTTTTAACAGTGAGATCCCTCTGATGCTTTGGAAGCTCTCTGCGGACCATGGCTTTTGCTGTAGTATACGACTAAGAAAATGTCAGGAAAGACCTACTGAAACAGCTGAACTTTTATTTGGGGTTAATCAGAGGCACTTTAAATGATGGCAGGTGTGTACTGACTCCTATTCAACATGTTTTTGAATGTGAGTGCTTAATTCTGAACACAGCTACATCCCCAGTTACAAGAGGGTGTGCACACTTATGCAACCACAATATTTTATTTTGTTTGTTTACATCGCCCCCCCTGAAAGATTTCAGTTAATTTTTCAATTGAGTTGTACAGTTTATAGGTCACATTAAAGGTGGAAAAAGGTCTGAAATGATTTATCTGTGTCCTTTTTTTTTTTTTTTTTTTTTTTTTTTTTTTTTTTTTTTTTCACATCACAGAAACCTGACATTTTAACAGGGGTGTGTAGACTTTTTATATCCACTGTAGCTGTACCTGCAAATGGGGCCAGCCTGAAGTGACCTAGCAGGGCTTAATTATCTGTTCTACTTTAAGCGTGCCCTTTTTTCTTTTCTGCTTTCAACACATCCAGCTCCAGGGACAGTTTGTTCCAAAAAGCCCTCACTCTAATTGGTGTGCAGCACATTATAGCCATTTAGTTTTGTATGGTTATCTTGTTGGGTCCCAAGCCGTACTCCTCGGAATCCATGATTTCCACACATTGCACACATGATGGTGAAGTAGCCTAAGGCCAGGTTCACATTTGTGTGGGCACGAGAACCCATTCATTTGCCCTGGGACGTGCAGGGAAGAAGTCCCTGCACTTCTTTGGAAATTGCAGCAGTTCAGGTGGCGTGCCATTAGAATTTAATGGCACTTTCCCGCGGGTCCCACATTCCTCTGTGTGAGTGGTGCGGCTGCAGGTATTTGTGCGTGTCCCGCAGCGGCACTACCTGCACATATGTGGACCAAGCCTAAAACCTTTTGCAGTTTTGAAGAAATGCTATATTTGCACTATACACCCTGGGCTCTGGATGTGCTTCTGGCAAATGGAATGTGCAGCAGTGATTTGCATGGCTCCATGCATTGTCCTGAAATGAGGAATCTTCTTCTTTTTGGAATATGTGATGGAACAAGACGTGACTACCTCCTGTTTTAAGAAGACTTTGCTGCACTATTCTTTTATGATGACCTATGAGAACATGACACACTTCTTCTGCTGATTGATCTGCCCTTTGTACTTGGGTCAGAGTAAAACTAGAATGTACTTTGCAGATGTAATATATTATCTTTAACCATTTCTGTGTGAACAAATTTTGGTATGTCTATGCAAATTTAGTTCTCTTTTATAGCCTTGGAAACTTGAAATTATTATTCAGTATTTATATAGCACCAAAAGGTTTGCTCAGCGCTGTACATTATAGTGGGGGACAGTACATGAGACAATACATGAACAAAACAATACACGAGGGGTTCGAGGGCCCTGCTCTTTCGAGCTTACAATCTAGGAAATGAAGGGTGTCTCATTATACAGAGTTTGATCAGTGGTGGAAGAAAGGTCCATGGTTGGCCTACTGCTTCTTAACACTGTTGGTTTGGAAGGCCACCCAGCAAATTTAGCAGCCTGTGAACCTGTTTTGCTTATGTAAAAGAGAGCGTGTATACAAGGTACTGGTAGGCATTCAGGTTAACTTGTTGCCTTATGATGGGCAATGTACACGTTGATCACTTCCAAGGGGTAGCTTTGTATTACAGAGAAACCCTGGCTATCCTGAATGCAGGTGTCCTAACATCTATATTAAAATATATTTTTAATTTTTTTTTTTTTCTTTATTAGGGAAGAATGAGGTTCTGGCAGGATTTTATTGTTGCCTGCAGGTACATAAGGGTGATTTTCTTTTCACGGTAATAACATGATCACCTGACCATATGTGCCATACAGATTTAGCAGTTCCTGATGAGATCGGAGAAATTCCCTTAATGTTGACACGGTCTTGCCCAACATCCTTGGTTTGAAAGAAAATTCAAAAATTGGAAAATTGTCAGCTGAACAGTGGCTGCATCTAGTCAGGTGTAGACGCTGTTCAGGTATTTTTACAGTTGGCGGGCCAGCTCTCTTAATACAATAGCTGCAGCCGGAAATTCATCCAAATAAAAAGCCAAAAAAAAATTCTGTCAGCTTTGCCCTTTCTATCCAAAAAAGAACAAAGAAAATGTATCTTTTGTTGCTTTATTCACTAGCGTTTGTATAAATCAATGTTCAGTTTACAAACCGTATTTAGCATGTGGCTGCTGCAGATGTTACATTCCAAGTATATTTAGTACATGATTCATGTTACCGGTATATATTTATTGGGTATTGTAAGGATATTAGATATGTAACTCAATTCAAAGGGTATTGTGAGGATGTTGGATATGTAACTCAATTAAAGTGCAGAAAGTATTTTTATATAGTCCTTTCACTTTATTGCAATGTCCAGTAGAGCCGTCCTAAAACAGAAGCTATTTAAATGGTTAATTTCCATCATGAATGGGGTGGAATCATTTTAGGTAAAAATCATGCTGATTCCCGACACTGCAGTACATTGCATACTCCACACTACTCTACTCTTGAATGCTGTGCTCCGTTGTATACTCCACATCACTAATTATCATGGTATTGTCACATAGAAGTTTATTCATATTGAGAGTTTCAATTTTCTACCCTATTTTGGGGATTTGTGATGCCAGTGAGACATGCAATGGTTTATAAAGGTTCTTCTGTTTTTCACACCTGTTTAGCCAAGGCATTTAGTTCTTTTTACCCCACTTCAGCATAACCTTCCCTGTTTTTCAATCCAGGCTCTTGAGAGTTACCTTTTTTGTTTTAACTTTTTTTTGTTTTTTTATTTAAATTTTTTTTTAAATTTTATAGGTATTTCTGGAAAGAGTCAGCTTCTGTTTGCTCTGGTGTTTACCACTCGGTACCTGGATCTCTTCACTTCGTTCATTTCATTGTACAACACTTCTATGAAGGTAAGATGCTTGCTAATTATAGGTGTAATTGACATAAAAAGAAACCTGTGTTTGCAATATGGAGGTTGCCAATGCCAACCCTTTTGCTGCCAGGTTCGTACGTCATATGGACCTGACAGTGGGGGGTTTTATATACACACCGGGACTGTCTAAAACTGACAGGAAGACTCTTGCCTGTCAGGTGAAAACAGTTGGTTGGCTGTGCTACGACCCCCCCCCCCCCCCCCCCAATAGAAAAAAAAATTTAGAGGTCCTCGATCACCACATATACACATGTACAAATGTAAACGGGGGGGTTGCCTACATGTGAAAACGTCAATTACGATACATTTTACATATCGCAGCGCACATTAGAGTGAGAGTAATAATTTTAGCACCAGACCACCTCTGTAACACTAAACTAATGACCTAATGGCTTGTGAAGCTTCGCCTATAGAAAATATAGGGTACTGAAGTTTGTTGCTATTTCATGGGTGCACACAAATTTAAGGTTTGACATGTTGGGTATCTATTTATTCGGTGCAACCTCCTCTTTAACCACTTGCCCTCCTGAAGATTTACCCCCCCCCCCCCCTTCCTGTCCTGGCCATTTTTGCATTACAGCTCTGCGTTACTTTAACTGACAATTGCGTGGTCATGAAACGCTGCACCCAAATTAAATTTACAACCTTTTTTTTCCAAGGAATTGAGCTTTCTTTCGGTGTTATTTGATCGCCTGTGCGCTTTTATTTTATTATTTTTTGCGCTATATATTAGACAATTTTTGAGAGAAACAATGTTTTTGGCTTTTTGCCATTTTTAACATGTCCTGTAAAAAAAAAAAAAATTTTAAAAACAAATTGTCATAAACCTTTGCCAAAATGTATTCTGCGACATAAAAAAAAAAAAAATCCGAATGCGTGTAAATTAGTTTACCTGAGAGTTATAGCATTTACAAATAGCGATATAGATACTAGAATTTTTTTTTTTTTTTTTTTTCTAATAATGGCGGCGATCAGCGCCTTATAGCGGGACTGTGGCGGGCATTCTGACATTGGGGGGGAACTGACTTGGTGTCCCTGACATCCCCAGTGACACCAATACAGTGAGCAGTGCTAAAAAAGAAAAAGCACTGACACTGTACTTATGGCGCTGGGCAGGAAGGGGTTACCATGAGGGGCAATCAAAGGGTTAACTATCTGTAGGGAGTGTTTTATTGGGGGACTATGTGTTGGTGCTTCACTGAAAAGCACGCTGCTCTGGATGGCTGTGCTGTGCACAGCCATCCATAGCAGTGTGCCTGAGCTGACAGGGAGGACGACTGTTAGTAAACAAAGCAGCCCTCCTCCCCGTTGGAGATCCTTGGTAATCACCGGGCGCTGGTGGGGAATCACCAGCCGGGATCCGGTGATTGATGGCACTGTGCCCCCTTACCCGGAAATGCAAAATCACGTGTGTATATATACATGATTTTGCACACCCCTACCGCCCTGTAGCAGTATATCTGCTATAGGGCGGTGGGGGAAGCAGTTAATATATTTTACAAAAAAATTGGTTAATTTTTTTATTGCATTTTTAAGTGCCCTAAAATGCACTTTTTTTAGTGTTTGTTGTGTTTTTTTTTTTTTTTTTTTTTTTTTTTTTTTTTTTTTTTTTTTTTTTTTTTTTTTTTATGCCATTTTTTTGCATTTCCTAGTTTTTTTTGTGGTAATATTGAGTTCCATAAAATATTGGAACTACCAATATTTTATTCCCTGGGGTGTCTACTTTCAGAAAATATGTTTGACGGTTTTTGTAATCTTCAGGTCTGAAATTTTTTAACCGTGTGCAAAAATAGCTCTGGCAGGAAAATGGTTAAAAGTGCTGGTTGTCTGGCTACTTCTATCTTCAATATTTGACCACACCCAGAGCAAACAAGCAAATTTCAAAGTTAAAGTCTGTAAAGGTTAAAGTCAGGTCTCTGATTCCAAAAGAGTGAAGACATAAGATCAGTATTTTCAAAAACAATCCTGCTTTCATGCAGGCTTTCTCTAAACTACATACAATATAACTGCAGAACGCAGCATTTAAAATCGGGTGTTTTTCATGTCTGTAGCTCAAAGTGTTTTGCTGTACAGTTTTAAGGATTTTGTATTTTTCATTAGCTCTAAAGCAGTGGTTCTCAACCTTCCTTTGCCGTGACATGTTGTGGTGACCCCCAACCATAAAATTATTTACCCAGTAATTATAATTCATGAGTGTCGTTTTACCTCCAATACTGCTGCTTTCAACACAATAGCTGCTTTCAACACAGCAGCTGCTTTCTACACAGTAGCTGCTCTTTACACATCGGAAATATGTGTTTTCTGATGGTCTTAGGTGACCCCTGTGAAAGGGTCGTTCGACCCCCAACACGACCCACAGTTGAGAACCACTGCTCTAAAGGTTTAGTGGTTCCTTTTGACATGAAAACTGGACACATGCCACCTTACCCGCGCTGCTATTAGCTGCTGGACATGTCAGTCGCCGGTTCCTGGCTGGCGATTCTTGGCCGGGACTCGGTGGTCGTTTGCAGAGCTGACAGGGGAGAGACCTGTCTGTAAATAACGCAGATCTCTCTCCTGTCACTAAGGACATGCTGCTTTGTAACTCTCTGCACGGAGGGGAAATACAAAGCAGCATGTCTCCGTAGTAAAAAAAAAAAAAAAAAGCACACAATGTAAAACACACAGCATGCAGTTAATCCTTTGATCACCCCAGATGTTAACCTACCAGTACACTGTCATTGCTTTTTATTGGCACTGATCACTATTAGTGTCACTGGGGATGTCAGTGGCAGTTAGTCAGTTCCCACCCAGTGTCAGAATTGCCCGCTATAAGTCGGTGATCGCCACCATTACTAGTATAAAAAATTCCAGTGTATACATACCTCCATTTGTAGGTGCTATATTTTGCATATATATATATATATATATGTAAAAGGCCTGGTTAGGAAGGGGGGTAAATCCTCTGAAGGGTACGTGGTTAAAGAACACTTGCGGGGTAAAGACTCTGAATAGTGATTAGGTTGATTACCTGGGATTTGGCAAACTGTATAAAGAGTCGGGGCCCACAAACAGCCCCTCCTACAGATCAAGAAGACTTTGGAATATAGGATGGGAGTGAGTCAGGCCCTCTATTCAAAGTGAAGCCTAGGCTTACGCTAGAGCTGCTGCATAATCATGCATTTTTCAGTGCACTTTTGCGTGTGTGTATGTGTGTGTGTGTGTGTGTATGTATATGTATGTATGTTATGTGTGTGTGTGTGTGTGTGTATATATATATATATTTCATGCAGTGATTTTGTAGGAGGAGACTAGTTAATCAACACTCAATCCTGCCAAAAACACTATTCGCCATGATGTGAATGGACACCATAGAGAAGAATGTGATTTCCATTGCTGTACATTGCAGCACAACAGTAGATGCAGGAGAAATGTTAATGTAAACGCGACCTTAGTGTTCACTGTTTATTACAGTATGAATAAGTATAAGTAGTATCAGGCAGTTCAGGGCCTTCCAGCTGCCTATATTTTGGACAGATTTTTCCAGTATGAGGGGGAAAAAGTGTGATGGGGCACACTGTCCCTCTACTCGCTGAAGAAATTGTTGAGGGCATATCTTATCACATTTCACTGTCAAAGTGCACATTAAAGTATTTCTATATTCTTAACAAGCAGTAAAAGAACTGGAGGACAACCCCCATACACCTCTCTAGCTGCACGTATTGTGTAATTCGTTCATCCTCAAGGATCACAACAGAGGCTGTTGTGGATGGACTTTAGTCCTTTTATATGCTCAACCGCTTGGAAGCACCCGCTGTTTACACAGCCATGGCCAACTGCTAAGATTCTGCTCCCTTAGAGTAGGAGGGGAGACCACCGTGATTTTAGTACTTCTGTTGTGAACTTTGAAGATTCATTGCTCTACAATTCCTACAGCTAAAGCAGTTGGCGAGGCTTGTTTGAAAAGTTATTCTAATTATTTTTTATATGTGAATACTTTTATTAGTGCATAATCCTGCCACAGGTGCACTTTAAAGTGGAACTATAGTTGTCATTCGCAATTTTTAACAGGTACATATTTATAACTGAAGAGATGCTGTATGTTTCTTCAGTCATAAAATTTTCTACCGCGGCCTACAAGCTTTTTAATATTCGACACTGACCGCTGTATGTGCGCACACAGTAGCTACTGTACGTGGGATTTCCACCATCTTGGCACCCAATTAATCAAGATGGCCAAAGACTTCTGAAAATAGAAGATGAGAGCTTCAGTGACGAGGAGAGCAGATGTTGCATTACTTGAAGGTGTGCACTTTGCAAAACCGTAAGGTAAATTTTAAACTGATGGCAGCAACACATCTCAGAAAAGTTGGGATAGGCTATGTTTACCATGGTGTAGCCTCCCCTCTTCTTTTGCCAGCTCTGTAAACGTGTGAGAACTAGGGAGACCAGTACTTGAGCTTTGGGAGCTAAATATTGTCCCATTCTTGCCTGGTATAGGATTTTATCTGCTCAACAGTCCTGGCTCTCTTGTTGCATTTTTCGTTTCAAGATGCACCAAATATTTTCAGTTGGTGAAAGGTCTGGACGGTAGGCCAGTTAAACACCTGGACTCTTCTACTATGGAGCCATGCTGTTGTCATAGATGCAGTATGTGGTTTAGCATTGTCCTGCTGAAATATGCAAGACCTTCCCTGAAAAAGATGTCATCTGGATGGGAACATAATCTGCTCTAAAACCCAGATATATCTTTCAGCAGTGATGGTGCCTTTCCAGATGTGGAAGCTTGCCCTTTCCTTATGGACCCCCAGAACCGTTAAAAATGCAGCCTTTTCGGCTGATTGCTGATAACAAGACAGAAGGTTCTTCTCTTTAGTCCAGGGAACGCGGCCCCCATGGTTGCCAAAAAGTGTCAAATTTCGATTCATTTGAGAACAGTGCAGGTTTCCACTTTGGGCCAAAGCTCATTTAAAATGGTCTTTCGCAGAGAAGAAAGCAACATTTTTGGATCGTGTTCAGATATGGTTTCTTCTTTGCATCATGGAGCTTTACATTGCATTTTTGGATGGCATGACGAACTGTGTTCATAGACAATGATTTTTGGCATTATTCCTGAGCCCATGGAGTAATGTCCATCACAGAATCCTGCCCATTTTTAATGCAGTGGCATCTGACAACTTGAAGATCACTCTCATCCAATATTCTGTTACGGCCTTGTCCCTTGTGCACAGAGATCTCTCCTGATTCTTTGGGATCTTTTGATGTTATGTACTGTAGATGATGATGATATATTTAAATTCTTTGCAATTTTATGCTGCGCAACATTTATTCTGAAATTGTCCAATTTTTTAGACATGCTTTTCATAGATTGGTGAACATCTACCCATCTTTACTTCTGAGACACTGACTTTCTAAGATGCCCTTTCATGTTACTAACCTGTTGCCAATTAACCTAATTACTTGCAAAATGTTCTTTCAGCTCTTCCTTGGTAGCAGCACTTTGCCAGTTGTTTGTTTCCCTGACCTAACATTTTTGAGATGTGGTGCTGCCATCAATTTCAAATGATTTTTTTTTTTTTTCTTAAAATGGTACAATTTCTAAGTTTAGACATTTTGATATGTTTTCTATTGTGAATAAAATATGAGATAAGTAAATCATTGCATTCTGTTTTTATGTAGATTTTACACATATACAAACCCAATTTTTTGGAATTGGGTTTGTATATGGAATAATGGGAGGAAAGACCTTATGTAACAATACTTTTCTTCAAGAACAAGGTGTATGATAGAATAACTATTATATGCTGCATTTCACAACCTGAATAATACATTATCTTATTCATATACTGGACTTTTTTCATGTGTCAGTTTCAGCCTCTTCCTGTTTTGATTTGTAGGCAGAATAAAAAACCCCTGCATTAAAACTCTGCAGGTTTATTTGAAATCTACACTTGTAATGTTGCAGTCATTACTCATCTCCCTTTCAATAACTACTCAATAAGCTCTTATGCTGTTAGACACACTGAATTGTAATAAGGGAGTACACCTTTTTTATGCTAGTGATTTTCATCTTGTTTAGACATTTGTGTTTCCTACTGGCACGACACATTTTTTCCAGGTAATTTTAATTAAACGGTTTTTGCTTCTTTCCCAGTAAATCAGAAAACAACCATATCTGCTGTTCAAGGGTTTTTGTTTTTTTTTTTTTTGTTTGTTAAACTAGACAAGCACAATAAAATAAACATTCTCTAGTAAGCAATTTACAGTTCTTACTCCAGAACATGCAGTTTAAAACCTTCAGTGCTGTTCTTGTGTGCTCAGTGCTGCTGGTACCTCCACTCTCAGTGCTGCTTACCTGAACTTCCAGTTTTCACAGGAAAGCGTTAACAGTGGATGATGCAGTCTGTAGTCAATCTATTAGCTTGGAAAAAAGGAGGCAGGAGCAGAGGAGTGCCTTGCCTTAGGCTTGCATGGGGCTGCATTTTGCAATCAATGCGCACATTGTAGCGAGACACAACTCTATATCCTGCATGCAAGAGTGGCTCCATAGGATGCCTGAGGCAGTAACCATGGCACCAGCTTAAACTTGAACATAGGTGAGGATTACAATATTAAAGAAGCTGCATATTTAGTAAGTGATGATCGCTTCCAGCAGCCCATTGAAGCTACCAAGGGTTTAATATCACTTAAGTGGAATTTTACTTTTTAATAATGCTTGCTCAAGACTCCTGGTATGGCCACACCAAGATCCCTTTCCAATAATGCTCATTCTGCAGGAAGTAGTAGCTATATTCCCCAAATGCACCAATTGTGCTGTAGCGTAGCTAAGATTTCATGGCACACACTGATGGAAATGATTCTTTCAGTGGTATGTCTAAAAGGCTTTATATGAATCAACTGAAAGAATAAGACCGGCATTCCTATATTATTATTATTTTTTTTTTTTTTTGGTGATCCACTATATTGCCAAAAGTATTGGGACGCCTGCCTTTACACGCACATGGACTTTAATCGCAGTCTTAGTCCGTAGGGTTCAATATTGAGTTGGTCCACCCTTTGCAGCTATAGCCGCTTCAACTCTTCTGGGAAGGCTGTCCACAAGGTTTAGTAGTGTGTCTATGGCAGTGTTGCTCAACTCCAGTCCTCATGGACCCCCAACAGGTCATGTTTTCAGGATTTCCATTATTTTGCACAGGTGATTTGATCAGTTTCACTGCCTTAGTAATTACCACAGCTGTTTCATCTGAGGGAAATCCTTAAAACATGACCTGTTGGGGGTCCATGAGGACTGGAGTTGACAAACACTGGTCTATGGGAATGTTTGACCATTCTTCAAGAAGCACATTTGTGAGGTCAGGCACGGATGTCAGACGAGAAGGCCTGGATCGCAGTCTCTGCTCTAATTTATCGCAAAAGTGTTCTATCGGGTTGAGGTCAGGACTCTCTGCAGACCAATCAACTTCCTCCACCTCATACTTGCTCATCCATGTCTTTATGGACCTTGCTTTGTGCACTGGTGCGCAGTCATGTTGGAACAGGAAGGGGCCATCCCCAAATTTTAGCTGTTGACTCTGCAGACAGTGTTTGAATTCGGCACACTGTGCGCGCTTCACCATGCACTGACCCCACTCTGTCATTTTACGTGGCCTACCACTTCGTGGCTGAGTTGTTGTTGATTCCACTTTGTTATAATACCACTAACAGTTGACTGTGGAATACTTAGTAGCAAGGAAATTTCATAGATGAACTTATTGCACAGGTGGAATCTATCAAAGTACCACGCTTGAATTCACTGAGCTCCTGATAGCGACCCATTCTTTCACAAATGTTTGTAGAAGCAGTCTGCATGCCTAGGTGCTTGATTTTATACAACTGTGGCCATGGAGGTGATTGTAACACCTGAATCCAATTATTTGGAGGGATGGCCCAATACTTTTGGCAGTGTAGTGTATGTTAGTCTTGTGTACCTCCATGGCAGCACCAGCAGGTTAGCCTATGTAAAATGTAGGTGTGTCCTTCAGCATTTCTGAACATTGGTTACTCCTCATTTGCTATTTAACTCTCAGCTGCCACATATAAAGTTTGTAGGGCTTTAATCTCCTTGGTCAATAGGTGTAGGGTGTTTTTTACCATGATGGGCTCTATGGTTTGTTACCACACTTCAACTGTAAAATTAAAAGTTCCAGTGTACTCGGTTTTAGATCCTGAAAATGTCGGTATCTCATTTATTTGTAGATGAATGTCTCTTTGATAGCCAAATCCCTCTGTGCCTTCATGCTCTCAAATGTACCATGACTGGGTCAGATGTACAGACCTTTGTAAATGTACTATAGACTTGAAAGAGTGCCTTATTTATTTATTTCAGGTACTTTATATAACGTCAATTTACGCAGCGCTTTATATACATATTGTACATTCACATCAGTCCCTAACCCTCGGGGTGTACAATCTAAAGTCCCTAACTCACATTCATACATACACATACTAGGGCCAAATTAGACAGGAGCCAATTAACCTACCAGCATGTCTTTGGAGTGTGGGAGGAAACCGGAGTACCTGGAGGAAACCCACCCAGGCACAGGGAGAACATGCAAACTCCAGGCAGGTGGCGCCGTGGTTGGGATTTGAACCGACGACCCTAGTACTGCCAGGCAGAAGTGCTAACCATTTTAGCCACTGTGCTGCCCTATTCTAGTAAACATTTCATTCTAAACTTAAATTATTACACTGGAAAATTTCAAGTACTGTAAAGGAAAAGTAGTTGTCATGCAAGAAGGCCAGTAGGTTAGCTAATCAGTCCTTGGCATTTTTTTTGATTGGCCGTGCCCTGTGTTCTTTGCCAATTAATTTTTTTGCAGAAAGGTAACCTCTTTCCCATTTCTCAGAAGGTGGGAGGTATTGTTAAAGGTGCTTCTAAGGTACCCATGCAGTTGGGTCCCCCTTGGACTGCATGAATTAAGTGCTTGTTTGGCTAGGGAGGGATGGGGGGGAAGACATAAGTAGAAATACCTTTTTTATTCCTCTTTACCCCATCCGCTAGTGCTCTCCTCACCTCTCGTGTTCTTGGGATGTGGTCTGGTCCTCGCATATAGTGGAGGTAATGCTTTCAAGGGACCAGTTACTCTGGAGGGGAGGAAATCTATGGGAACGAAGAAGAATGTAAATGTTTCCTTTTTTTGGTGTGTGTGTGTGTGTGTGTGTGTGTGTGTGTGTGTGTTTTAATATGGTTATAGCTATAGTTTTTTAGGGTTTTTTTTTTTATATCTTTTAATAAAATCTGATAAAACAAGATGATTATCATGTGCACAGGGTACATGTGATAAGCACTTGGCAGGTAAGTAAAGAAAATGGTAGATTATGCTATATGTAAGTTTAAACCATGGGAAATAAAAACGCAACTGTAGGTACATGTGACAGACAAATGCATGCATTTTAAAAGTAGAGAGCTCAGACATGTCACTTATAGTATTCCATGTCAAGATCTGCCCTCCAGTTGACAAGCAGTGAAAGCGACACAAGCAGTTTAGTAAAGTGGATGTGTAAGGCTATGGAAAACAAAAAGCCTAGTTCAAACATTGGATGAGCATGAGGAAGAAGGGAATCTAGCCAAAGTTGGCGTCTCTAACACAGCTCACCAGTCTGATCCTGGAATATTATTATTGCAGATACCTTTTCATTTAAAGTGATAGTAAAGTCGTGTCATTCCCTTTTACCTACTGGTAAGCTTTATGATCAGCTACCTGTTGGTAAAAATGGCAATCTTCTAAACATGCACCATTTAGGAGATATTCCACGGAGCAGCATACTGGGCCGTTCCTTCAGAGGTCTGTGCCGTAAACATTGACTCCCGTCCACATGTACAGGAGTGATTTCATTGCTGCTCAGCCTGTTGGACGGCCCAGAGTCTGCTCACCCGGAAGGAAAACTAGGTGAAGATGGATGCCCTGTCACCGGTGAGAGCGCGCCCCTGGAGGGCTTTGTTTTTAAGGTAAATTTTTCTCAATGTGCAAGTATGCAATGCATTATGACATTGCCTTGCAGGGTGAATTTTTTTTAACAAAGTTTACTACCGCTTTTAATCATTGTCCAGATGAGAGTAGATTTTGTTCTAGAACTTTGCTGTTCATGTGGCCCTTACATATTGCTGTTTGTCTTCCAGCTGATCTACGTTGCTTGCGCATATGCAACAGTTTATCTCATATACATGAAGTTCAAGGCTACCTACGATGGAAATCATGACACATTCAGAGTGGAATTTCTCATCGTTCCTGTTGGTGGATTGTCCGTCCTTGTCAATCATGACTTCTCTCCCCTTGAGGTATTGTCTGCTTTGTTTTTTAGTGGTATTCCATGGATTACCAAACCTAAAAAATGTTATATGGGCAGAGACTAATTGGCAGTATTTACCAGGTTTGGTTGTGGTGTTTAATGTATTCCTCTTTTTTTTTAAATATTGCCAAGCGATCCCTTCATTTGGCAGTATTCATGGAAATCACTGCTAAATATGAACTGTTAAGTTTTTATAAAGGATTCCTCAGTGTATAATCTCTGAACAGGGACTCTCTTCCATTATATCCAGTTGTTCCCCCCCCCATTAGGTGCCTCCACCACTAAAGCCAGGCTGTCATTCAAACGTCAAGACACCTCTGTGCCACTACTGCTGGCTGCATACCCTAGTGACCACACATGGGGAGTGGTTAGAGTTGAAGATGAGGGTTTAGATTCTGATCTTTGTCAAAGACTTGACATCAGTGTATCGGTAACAGTGCTGTTCGCTTAAAGCGATTTAATAAAGCTTCCCCCCCCCCCCCCCCCCCCCCCCCCCCCCCCCCCCAAAACATGTTATAGGTAACTGCTCTGTGTAATGGTTTTGCACAGAGCAGCCCCGATCCTCCTCTTCTGGGGTCCTCTGCTAGCACTGCTGGCTCCTCTTCTCTGCTGAGTGGCTACCATAGGAAGCCACTTCCTATGGTGGGCTCTCATGTGAGCTTGCTCCTGAGTCAGGATGTATGCAAAAGGTGTGGGGTTTTTTTTTTTGTTTGTTTTTTTTTTTTTTACCTTTTTACAACTACTTTGTAAAGTAGTACAAGCTGCTTGATATAGGTAAGGAGTGTATTTTAAACCACTTATCTTAGGTTCATACTTGAGCAGTTTTCAGGGCGTTTCCCAGTTTGTAGGAAGACACTACAGTCCATTTAGCATGGTTTCCTATGGATCTAGTTATCTGTTCACAACTGTGCATTTTTGAACCGTTGCATTTTTTAGCAAGGGTCAGGGACTTTTTTTCTTTTTCTTTTTTCTTGCAGATTGCAGTAGACTTCAGTGAAACGTGTCAAAAATGCAAGTGTTGCGTCTTTTTTTTTTTTTTTTTTTTTTTTTTTTTTAATTTTGCCAATGGGAATGTATGACAGTCTTAGGTTTGGGTTAGTGGTAATTGTAAAAATCGCAAGTTCACAAAATGCATAGGTGTGAACCTAGCCCTACTATGAAGACACTATTGTTTTTCCAAGGGAAATTGAAAAATGTACTTTAGGCACTATTCGTTTTGAAAATTGGTGGTAGTATAACGCTCTCTTAATTATAGGATGAAAATTTCCATCTGCATTAAGAGATCCCTGTTGATATAAGTAAGCCAATCCACACTGTGTACTTTCCAAGGCCATACAACTGATCCTGACTGCCACATGGTTACATGGGGGGTAATTTACTAAAATTGGAGCAAACAGAATCTGGACAAGCTGTGCATAGCAGCATAGTAACCAGTCGGCTTTTAACATGAGCTTAGTGCAACAAAGCCCACTGATTTTAGAATGTTTCCAAACCTGTTATACTCCATGCATACAGTAAACGATAACTGTCACAGTTGCCTGTGCTCCCAACAGAACAGTCAAGCCATCAAATGGCTGGTGCCATAACTAATTGCATGTGCAGCACCATGGCCAACTGCAGATCAAACGTACGCTAAGATGGCATCTTCCTTGACTGTAAATGATCGGAGGGTTTAGTTCTGCTTTAAGATTTGAAAATGGACTGTAGAAGCTGATTGGTTGCTATGCACTGTTCCAGATTCTCTCTGCATTTCCGTCTCTGCCTATCATTACCTACACAGCATTCTTGTATTTGTGGGTATAGAAGACACTTCATTTATACTGCTTTTTACTAGTGCAAACTTTTTAATTCACTACTTGATTTCAGATTAAAACCTAAAAAGCAGATTTAAACATGCCTTGCAAATATTTTTTCAGTAGACTTTTTACATATAAGATATGGTAAAGAATAGGTTCACCCTTTAATAACATTACATGTTCTACCCATATACCCCCTAAACCAATTTTGACAGTGGGCAGGGAATACTCTCCCCACACCTGCTGTCATAATTTAAGTACAGCGTAGCTCTGCCCACACAGCCACGTTGTTCATTCAAAGAGCTCTCAGGCAGATGGTTTTGTAGTTTTCAATGATTCTTCCTGCTGTTCAGTACTTGTCTGCCCATATGGAAGGTATGGGCAGACAGCTGTTTTGAGAGTCTGTAGGTGCCTGACCTGCAATACTCTGTATGCTGCTATAAAAAAAAAAATATAGAAGCAATTTTGTTTAAAAAAAAAAAAAAAAGTGAACTTTTCCTTTTTAAATATCTTTTGTGTAGAAATTTTGTTTTCCTCCACACAGCTGACTTCTGAATAGTCCTGTAGAATATTGCCAACTGTCACTTTTTCAGCCTAAAACACCCAATGGTGACATGAACAAAAGGCTGCCCAGCCAGCTGTACTATCAATATTTGTAAATGCTTTAGATACATACATACATACATACATACATACATACATACATACATTTTCTATGAATGTGTTGCTGTTTCTTATATCAAGCAACCTTTATTTTACAAATACATATTTTTAAAACTATCATTCTAAGATGTAGCTATTTTTGTTTAGATCCTTTGGACCTTTTCTATCTACCTGGAGTCTGTTGCCATCCTCCCTCAACTATTCATGATTAGTAAAACAGGTGAAGCGGAGACCATCACTACTCATTACTTATTCTTCTTGGGCTTGTACCGTGCCTTGTATCTTTTCAACTGGATTTGGCGCTATGCTTTTGAAGGCTTCTTTGACCTGATTGCCATTGTTGCAGGCGTGGTACAGACCATCCTGTACTGTGATTTCTTTTACTTGTATGTTACGAAAGGTGAGTGCAGCAACTTTTCTTTCTTCAATTTTTTTTTTTTTTTTTTTTTTTTTTTTTTACTGTGAATTAACATTTTAACAATTTTGTCTTCTGATTTTTGGGTCTGTGCTGGTACAGCTTAGCTGGTTGTCTTGGGCTCACTAGCTTGCCTTAAGTGAAAAGTAATTTGGGGTGGGGGGAGATTTTATAAACTCCAGCTAAGTCTCTACATCAGAGGTGCATGGAAGGACAGCTCAAAAGTTGGGCTTCGGCTGTAAATTTTAGAGATCATTAGCTACTTGGCTCCTAGGTAGTAGTTCAGACCTGCTGTAGATGTTGCAGTCTTTACAGATGTTGCCAATGGTGGGTGCAGTTAGAGACCACATTCTGAAAATGCCAGCTGCCTAGAATTCTCTGGCTTCAGTACTTCAGCCATCTCTGTAATTGAATACAAGAACACTGAGCGCTCAAGACTCTGATGAGATCAGCAGCAAATGCACTAAAAAGGAACCCAGGACCTTATATAAAACACAAACAAGAACTGGTGCAGCGCTGAAAAAATTAATACTCAAAATGTTAATATGAAGATATTAAATACAAGTGATAACAGGAGTGTATGTAATGAGCGCAAATAAACAAGTGCGGCTGTGAAAGTCATAAACAAAAAGTGTTCATATGATGGTGGATTCGTGTGCAGCACAATTGTCAGACCCTCACCATCATATTAACACTTTCTTTGTTTTATGACTTTCACAGCCGCACATGTTTGCACTCATTGCAGCGCTTCATACACTCCTGTGTTATCACTTGTATTTAATATCTTCATAATAATAATATTTTGAGTATTAACTTTTGCAGCGCTGCACCAATTCTTGTTTGCATCTCTGTAATTGCTACTAGCACCCCAATTCTTCCCCCCCCCCCCCCCCCTCGGATTTGTGCACAGATGTGTCGAAAGGTTCTGCCTGGTTTGAGGGTTCTGGCAGAGCTCTTCGGCACGTGTTTGCGCCAGGAGATTTTGCACGCATGCACAAGGATGGCAAAGGTTTTTACCAGGGCATATGGGAGCAGTGTTGGACCAGTGTAAGCCAGGGTCATGTCTAGTAACGAGCTGCAGGAATGTTGTGCTTTGCTAAACTGTGTTTCTTCCCCTTGACTTCCAGAACAGCTGTCAATGGGGAAGTATCTGCAGCGGCCTCTAGCCCTTAGCCCATTTGAAGCTGTGGGAGTTTCCCGTGCTTTTGTATCTAAGTTCCTGGGTATCAGGGCAATGTGTGGGGGGTGTGTGTTTCGTGTTTTTTTTTTGTTTTTTTTTTTTTTTTTGGGGGGGGGGGGGGGGGGGGGGCTCTGTTGTCAAGCCTCTGGGTCATGGAGGCCTGCTGCAGGTGTGGTCTTATGTCAGTTGCTGGCTGACAGCAGTCATGGAAGTGGAGAGGGTGAAACACAGCTTGCCTCAGCACAGCATTCACTCAAGGACAAAAAATGTTTTAATATTAGGACCAATGGTGAATATAGAGGATGGGAAAGGGAGATGAAAAAATTACTGTAGTAACCACCTCTTTGTATTGTCAAGCTGCCATTTTATAAATCGGAGGTGTCAAATGCGGCCCTCCAGCTTTTGCAGAACTAGAAATCCCATGAGGCATTGCAGGGCTGACAGTTAAAAGCATGACTCCCAAAGGCAGAGGCATTATGGGACTTGTAGTTTCTCAGCAGCTGAAGGTCTGCAGTTTGACACCTGTTATAAATGTTATTTGTGGATTTAAATAACATTGGAGTTTGCTTAAATTTTTCTTTGCCTTTTTAGGACATTAAAACCAAATTTTATTGGGGGGGGGGGGGGAAAGAAAGTTATCCAGTTAATAATTTTTTTTTTTTTTCTTTTTACAGTACTAAAGGGGAAGAAACTGAGTTTGCCAGCATAAGTGCCAAAGATTGGGACCAGCAGCTGTCCGCCACACCGTTTGGACAGAACAATCCTTTGAGCGAAGGCATATGATGCGCAAAGCAGAGTCAAATACACTACTTTTTTATATGCAGAACTGCCTGCTTTGCTGCCGGAGAGGTCCAGAATAGAGTGGCATGATGGCCCCCTCCAACAGCAAATTGGCTTCTCAAGTTGACTCTGGCCAACCAGCTGATTTGTTTTATGCATCTTGCCTTCCTTGTTTTTTTTATGATGTATAAAGATTTTTTACATAAAAAGGTATACTGTAATAATAGATTCAGTGCGCAGTTTCAGTTCCGTAGCTGTGAAAGTGAAATTTTGGTGAGTTCACAACTAAGTTCAAATGCAAGGCCCACCCCACCCACCCACCCACCAGTACTGGCTTTGTTTTTCAAAAGCTGTTGATTTATATTTTTGGTTGTTTGATGGTCGTAGTCCGGAGCTTTTTTGTTTTTTTTTTAAACAAAGAAAAAAATTCCAATATCCAAGTCATTCCACTATTAATTTATTCAATTTCTTCTGAAATCGGCACATCTGTCAAGGACTGTAATTTCAGTGCTTTGCCATCCATTTAAGATTCCTCAATGAAATATTTTTGCAAATAAAGCATATGGATCAGAGTGTGATGTCAGCATGTTGCAGTGCTTCTGGCTGCTAATGGGTTTGGTTCCCATTTGGAGGAAATAAAAGGTTTACTTTTAATTTTTTTTTTTTTTTTTTTTTTGTTATATACACCAAAGTGTATATGTAATTTTTTTCTTTTTTTGTCTACCGGTTTCACCTAAAGAAAGCGAAGAGTCACAAATGGGGAAAAAAGTGCCGTTGCATAGCTGAAGAAATTTTTTTTGTTGTTTTGCTCCCTCCCCCATCCTTAAGCTGTTCTGATTCTTTTTACAACTGTCCAGTGTAAGTGACACATAGGAAGTTATTGCTGGTGGATAATGGTGCAGGCACTATGTTCTGGATCAGGTTCTGTTTGTGCACATTGTACCTCTCTTCTAATGCAGCAAGAGTGGCTGACCTCTGACTTTTTGAATTGGGGGTCTTCTCTGAATAGTTTCTCAGCACAAAGTAGCCACTCTTGAGGGCTGGTACTCTTTGGAATTGAACCATGCAGTACATTCTTTGTTAAAGAAATTTGATATGACATATCAGTGGGTTGAAGTAAAATTGTGTATGTTAAGAAAAAGAGTAATTTTTTTTTTTTTTAATTTTTCAATGTCACTGCTCATTTCATGGTTTTAATCTTTACCCCTTCCCCTTTTTTAGAGTTGTTTTTATTTCTTTGAATAAAACAGTCACCGCAACAGAAATAGAAGTTTACACTTTAAGTCCAAGGATTTTGTAGATTTTTTTAAGCTATAAATAGGGGTTGGTTTGTTAGAATCAAATGGACTGTTGATGTTGCAAGGAAACTTTCCCCAGAGCTTAGTGAATGAGATGAAGCTCTGCTGATGGCCATCATCCAATTATGTGCAAGCAAAAATGCTTGCTGGGTTTTTTTTTTTTTTTTTTTTTTTTTTTTTTTTATTTCTCTCTCCCCCTACCTCCCGCTAAGCTTTGGGGAAAATTCCTTTACAAAGTGAACAGCCTCAACATACTGTATACTTTAAAAGTAAAGAGATTTTAAAGCAAGTCCTCTCTTCTTTAGCTGCTTCTAATATGAAATAATTTTACCATCAAAGATCAAAACAGACTCTAAACCCTAGTACACACTTAGAAAAAACAGTTTTCTGGTTTTCCACAAAGGTGCGTATCGTGATGTAACTGAAAATATTAACTTGTACAAAAATTCTCAGACAAAGTGTGGTTGTCAGAAAAAAAATGCTACCGTTCACTGTAGCTCTTCAATGATTCAGAATATGAAAGTTCTTTCTTGTGTACGATTTTTATTTTCGTTGCCATCTTTTTCCGGGTTGTTCTTTGTGTCCGATCATGCATGGTATTTTGTATTCGATTATTTCCATACGATTGCTGTACACATTGAACCAAAATTGTCCGTTATGTTAATGGGAGAAATTTTCTAGCTTGAACTTTTTTTTTTTCTTTTTTTTTTCTTCCCCCATCTCAACAAATTTGAATCGTCTGTTAAAAGCACAATAACAGATTATTGACCGATCGTTCCTATTGTGGAAATTTTTGCCAGTTTTTCTTATTGTGCGTACAGTCCACTAATGTGGTTTTAGGTCCTTTCTAACAGCTTAAAAGGATCTGCTGTGTTCATTTTAATAAGCTAGGAGTCTCCCATGATCTCTTATCAAGCCACCCTGGGCTTATGGGCGTATGCTAAAGCCAAATGGTGTTACCTCATTATGTATCCTTGGATCCTGCAGCAAGAAAAATATGCCTAGTGCTGGAGAAGGAAGAGGACCTGTGATGAAAGAAACTCGCACACTGACTAATCACTGTGATAGCCACTCTGAGTCTATAGCAGCAATCAGGTGATCTGGGGTTCCTGAACATTGGTACGAGCCCCAAGGCTCTCAGCCATTTCTCCGCTAGGAGCGTAGTGTGCTCCCAGCACAAGCTCTGGTACGCATGTATGCGCCCTCACGGAAGAAGACCCACTTCAATGAGGCTGCATATATGTACAAGTGGTAGGAAAGGGTTAATGAAAATTATCTATATCTCTCACATAAATAAAACATTGTGCAATGCCTATAGCAGCCTTTTCAACCAGGGTGCCTTGGCGAAATGCCCAAAAATTGTATACAAGCCAGCGGGGGTGCATTAAGCCTGCCTTTTAGTTACACAAAGCCACAGGTTTTTATCCACCACTGCAGCCTTCCAGCCGTTGATGTCTTAACAAGCAATGATGTCATCTGTTGTTAAGGAGGACATCGGGCACTTGCACAGCATCCTTGTTTGCCTGGCCCCTTCCCCTCTCCATCAGCACTGGGGTCAAATTAGCTGAGTGAGGGAGAAGAGAAATGTTGGATTATTAGTACCAGTGTGCACAGGTGTATTTGCTTTGGAAGAATAAATCACATATAATGTTGGGTGTCCTACGTGTTCTGATGTATGTAAAACTATTGGGTTTGTTTTTAATATTTTAGAATGGATTGCCCTGAGACTGCATCATTTTAAAGGATGCCTTAACTGAAAAAAGGTTGAGAAACACTGATTCATAGCATTAAGTCACTCATAGATATGTGAAATGCAAGAATGGTTACATGTTTTTAAATCTGTCGTTCTCAAGTTATCTATTTGAAACATACAGGTGATCAAGCTCATGCAGAGTCACAAGCAAACTGATACTTGGAAGTGGTATTAAAACCAAAAATGTAATATATTACAGCATAAGTCTTTAGATGTGTTAGCTGCTTTTATTTACCTTGTAGGGCTATTTCAATTTTAACATATTTACAGGTGGTGTGTTACCAGCCAAATCGCCAGTCAAAAACGGAGGGAATAAATCTTTAAAAACAAACCAAACAAAAAAAAAAAAACACTATGCAGCCACCACATCTAAAGACTTATGCTGCAATATATTAAATTTTTGGTTTTAATACCTCTTCCAATATATTGCAGCATAAGTCTTTTAGATGTGGTGGCTGCATAGTGTTTTGGGTTTTTTGTTTTGTTTGGGGTTTTTTTTGGGTTTTTTTTTTGGTTTGTTTGCTTTTAAAGATTTATTCCCTCTGTTTTTTTTGCCTGGTGATTTGGCTGGTAACACACCACCTGTAAATGTTAAAACTGAAAAAGCTGCTTTTATTTACCTTGTAGAGCTAACACATCCATTGATACAAGTTAACAAGTTAGTAATAAAGATTCATTGCTAGATATTTAAGTATGTCATTTAACAATATGTTCAAATAAATATGCATTATTTTTTTTTTTTTTAAGTATTCAGGGCGTGGCATCCATCTAGTGCAAAATATGTGAAGTCTGAACGAAATAGTCCTTAAAAGTGAATAACTGTGAAAATAAGATCCTTTCAGAGACTACAAGATAGTCTAAACATGAACTTATGCATATTCTTATTATACAGGATTTATATAGCGCCAACAGTTTGCTCAGCGCTTTACATTATGGTTGGAGACCGTACAGAAACAATACGAATCTATACAAGAGGGATTCGAGGGCCCTGCTCCTTGGAGCTTACAATCTAGGAGGCAGGGGATAGTGTGGTACAAGAGGTAATAACTGTGGGGGATGGATTGGTTGGAAGGGTAGAGGATTCCAGTATTAGCTGAGGGCGGTGTTGTAGGCTTCCCTGAAGAGAGGTTTTCAGAGTGTGCCTAAAAGTGAGTAGAGTAGGCGATAGTATGATGAATTGTGGTAGGGAGTTCCAGAGGATGGGGGGGGGGGGGGGGGGGAAGTCCTGGAGACGAACATGGGAGGAGGAGACAACAGGGAGCTAGAGAGTAGGAGGTCTTGTGAGGAGCTGAGAGTATGGTTTGGGTGATATTTGGAGACAAGATCGGTGATGTAATTTCGGCAATGTTATGAACGGCTTTATACATCGGTGTTAGCGGTTTGCATTTTAGCCGTTGGGCAATTGGAAGCCAGTGGAGGGTTTGGCAGAGAGGGGTGGCAGATACAGAACGGTTAGTAAGGTGGATGAGTCTGGCAGCAGTATTCATGATAAACTAAAGTGGGGATAGCCTGCGGTGAGGTAGGCCAATGAGGAGGGAATTACAGTAGTGATATAATAAGGGAGTGAATGAGTTGCTTAGTGGTTTCCGAAGTTAGGAACGGTTGTATCTTGAAGATGTTGCGGAGGTGAAGTCTACATGAGTTGGTCAGCGATTGGACCTGGGGCTGAAAGGACAGATTGGAGTCTAGGATGACACCTAGTACCCTGGCTTGAGGGGTGGGACTGATGATAGTGTTGTTGGTCTTGATGGAGAAGTGGGGGGGGAGTACTAGGAGCTCCGTTCTGGAAAGATTGAGTTTGAGGAAGTGGAGTGACGTCCAATCCGATATGTCGCTTAGTAGGCTTGAGATACGAACGGAGACTGAAGGGGGTGAGGG